TGCTATATTGTCTATAAAATTCTAATTGTGTGGTTTTTATGTGTGTATTGGGGTATAGATGGGAGATTCTTTAAAAAGTTATAGATGTATAGATTTACTTAAAAAATTAACAATTCCTTAAGTTACTTTTAGTTCTATTTTAAAATAGACTTCCCTTTTTTTCTGTTTTCAAATTCATTGCCCTAAGGTTGTTCATAAGTATCATGGATTTTTCATTCTGTTTTGTTTTTAATTAGTTGTTTATTATTCCATTGCTTCAACAAAATCCACTGACTTAAGAGTCACACCACCAGTATTCTATTTTTGCTTTCATCACTTGCAAATTTTTGCTTTTTGAACTATGGGCAAGTCACTGCTGCTGAAGATATTTTTTTCATCTCTAAAATCTAATATTTCCTTTTTAGGTCACTTATTTCCAAGGAGTCTCAAGGAAGATATGATTGAAAATGTTTTCAAAAATGGAAAAACAAATACAAACAAAAAAAACCCCAAGAGTTTAAGGTTTATCCCCAAAACCTTTTTGAATAGGAACATCACTTCTAATATTGTCCTCCAAAGCAACATTATAGGCATCTTTTGAAACATAAATGAAAATCAGAGAGCTCATAATCCTTCACAGCAGAGTAAAACTTCTAAAATCTGGATCTCTGGCTGACTTGAAAACCGGCAATTCGTTAACCATAATTAAACACCAGCATGAAAATATATTTAACTGTTGTGCTTTTTTAGCACATATGGTTTATTCATAAACCCTTTTTAAAAATTATAAGAAAAAGTTTACAACACTTTGGATAGGTCTTAAGAGAAGGCAATGTTACTTTAACGTGTGCAAATAAAGTTCTTCCTGGATTTTTAGTTACTTCAGTACACTTCATTTTAACTTTGTCAACATCAAGCAATCATTTATCAGGTTCTTGACCTGATGCTACATGCTATAGTTAAAATGCTAACTCTAGTACGCTAAATATGGGGAGTTAAAAAGGTATGCAATGTGTTATTTTTTCCTTTAATATAAAGATCATACCAGTTAGAAAACATAAGAAATAACCTTCAAAGTCCCAGTGTCAACTGTTTGGTAAAGCAGAGTTCTTGCAATTATCTTTTCAGGAAACTAACTAGCTTAGCACTAAATATATTAATTAAACTCTAAACCTACAAAATAGGAACCAAAAATATTTGTTGCAGATGCACATCAAAGCTATTTGATAGTAGATCCCTACAGTGAATTTGCATAAAAGTAGCAGAAATCTTATTTAAGGCAAAATAGTTAATCTTGGTGAAATTTCATTTGAAGAATTTCTCGTTATGGTTGCATCATGGGTTTTACACATCAAATTTTTAAGTTAAGACTCAGTAACAGGTTACACATCTATAAGCTTCCCTGAGGTAACCTCTTGAGTCAGAGATTCTTCTCCAGATCCATTTCTGTAATTTGTATTAATCTAAATATTATTTACAATATGAAACTTTAATAAATTAGAACACTTAAAGATGGATCAGGACACACTAAGTAGTTTCTAGGGGAAGTGGTCAAACTCTGGGTTAGGAATGGGATGAAAAACCTCAGAATTACTATTACAAATGAAATAAAAGATCTAAAGTGTTAAGGTAATTTTCTTTTTAAATATTGAGAAAAAATTATCTTTAGAAAGGCAGAATCATTTTCTGCTGTGAATCATTTGCCTTTTGAAAGCAAGGATATTAGCTTAAAATGATGGTAATATGTATATACTAAAATACATTGAGTTCAATTCAAATGGAACTATCTTTCACAGTGGGCTTTTAGTGATAGGACTGGATTTATTTTACCACTTTCTTACCTCATATGAAAAAGGGATGGTTGTATATGGTTTGACTCTTTCACTGGATGCTACAGACAGTTAAATTTGCAGGTCTAGATTGAGAAACAAGGCTGGACAGTTTCTCTATTCTGATAAAACTCCCATTAGGGCGAAAGTATTAAGGCTCAACAGCAATTCAACATTTCTCTTATTATGTCAATGCCTGAAAACATACAATTTTTAAAGAAGAATATACAGAGTCCAAATAGCCATTTTTTAAAATTTTGTTTATTACTGTTTACCAATGGGGAGATGCAGCTTATTTACACCAGCAGCCATAGAGGAAAGGGAAATACAGTTAGTCAGCTATCTGTATAGGATGGACTACTTATGCAAAAATAAGAATCTCCAAAACAAAGGACAGTGGTGAGCTTCACTACCCTCCCCCAATGATCCCAGCATGCGATAATGCCAGGCAGTGGTCCCTGGGCATGCGATGGTGGGAACTAATGTATGGAAGAAAATGCCACAAACCACAGAAATTTTAAAGAACCCCTTTCCCCCATAACACACACACACACTCAGATACATAATATTGATTGCAGGGTGATTAATACACTTAATCAAGAAGGGGAAAATACGAACTCTGCTGTTAAAAAGGAAGGTAGGTAGGGAAAAGGAGAGTTCCTAACCACTGTCAACTATATGGTAGGGAGCATTCTCTCCCCAGAAAGGAGTCTGTAACTCTCTGGGCACCTATTGGACCAAGCCCACCTTATACCCATGCAGGGCAGGGGGCTATTGCCCTATTGGTAGAGGGGCTAGAAACAAAAAACAAAACAAAAAACAAAAAGGGGGTAATGCGAATAAACCATTACTCCAAACTACTTCCTATTTCCTCCTCTAACCAGGAGAAAAGGTCAGAAAGAAAACAGTAATTTCAAGATCTGAGTCCCCTATCTGAAGGTAGAGGGATTGGACTCTGGCCTTTCTCCATCATTCCGCTTCCAAGACATTGTTAGGGAGTAGGCCACAGTCTCAGTTAAACTCTCCTTTCTTCATCCTCTTAGATGTCTACAAGGGCAAAGATATATCTAAATTATTTTAGCTCTTGACAAGGTTTGATTTTTTTTAAAGTTATTGCAATTCTTGAAGACTAATCTGTAACCAGGCCCCAAGGCTGATCAGCGCAAATCTAGGAGAAGGCAATAACAGACAGTTCCAAGGCCCGATCTCTATGGTTTCCTTAACCCTCTAAAGTATGTAATCTAAATCAGTCTATACAGTCCAAACAGTACCTTCTGGGATAAGGATACATGCACAGCAAGGGTTAGAGAATGGATAAGGACCAACTCCATTCCCCTGTGTGTCAATCAGCCTTTACTGCTCTTCTACTTAGGTCCTAACAGGCAGTATTGAAATGGAGGTGGGAAGATACAACTCCTTATGAAGTAAGACACAGCAAGAGGGCACACTAGCAAGGCAGTCCTATATAGGAGAAATGCTTAGGCATGACACTGCATTTTAAATACAAAAAATTAAGTTCTGTTCCAATTCCAATCCCAGCAGAAGGAGCCATAAGAAAGATTCTCCTCTGAGTCTTCCATAAAGACAGGGGAAAAAAGAAACAGAGACCAAGAAAAAAGAAATTGGGCAGGCTTAAGCAGGAGCATTAAGAGCTGAACTGAAATTGGTCATTGTGAAAGCTGGAGTGGCAAGCAGCACCTGGGGCACCAGATAGGCAGTGGAGCAGGGAACAGGAGGAACATGGGGCCAAGCCAGACATATGAGGCTGGACCCCCTACTGGGGCACAGAATGAGGTAAGAAAACATTTCAAATAAAGCAGCACCGTTCCCGCTCACCTCGGGGCTCCCACTCCTTTATACTTCACAAACCCTCACTCAGGGAATAAAGTGGAGGGTAGTTTTGATATGTGGCTACTTCCCATCTTCCCCTATCCCGATACCATTCCCTGAAGTCAGGAGATTCTAGAGGTCTTTCTATGACTTCTAACAATAAAAGGACTGCTCTTGTTGTCAAGAAGATCCAAAAGGTACCGAGTGGAATGGATTGCCCCTTTACAGGGACAGAGGGAAGGTGGTGACAGTCTGGATGTTCACCATAGCAGAGCTCTGACTTCCCAACCAAAGAACCAGGAACATTCATCAATATTCTGCAGTCAGATGAGATAATCCAGTCCTGCTCCTTGGCTCCTCACCTAGCACTAACCCATTCACATTACTGAGGGCAGCTGAAAGAGATCCCCTCTGGGCTGTTTTCAAATCACAGCCTCCTTCCAGCACAGCCACGATGCTCTTCTATAGTTCAGTCCCGCCCCCAGGGTGGGAGGCAGCTAGTGACCTGGCTTAATGACCAAGTCACATCCATGGACTGGCTAGGTAACCAGTAACCCAGAGTAGGAAATGACCACCCTCCTAAACTTATGTCCACAGCATAATACATCCAGACATGAATCTTGCAGTTTGAGAGATCGTGCATAGTTGCAGAGGTCCCCTCTACCTCCCCAGGGGATCACAGCCAAATCCTCAGCCTGACTGGACAACCAAGTTGTCCATGCGCCAAGCTTATGCCACCAGTTTGGAGGGCAAGGAAGAGGGCACTGCTCAGCCAAGTGCTAGGCCTTCTCCTCAAGTCAGCTGAAATCATTACAAAGGCTGTACCTTTGGGAAACAGGTGGATTTGACCATTTCTTCTTGCTGGAGTCAGGGCTACAGCGCTTCCCTACCAAACTTGAGAATTCTTTTTCTTGGATTTCCCAAATTGAAATTGTTAGTATCCAGATTTTGCACCTGACATTTACTTGTCTCAGAGAAGCCCATATCAGAGGTTCAGATATCAAATGAGCAGTCCCACTGCAGGCCACTGATTATGGCCCGATGAACTGTAATGTCCAAACTGTCCTGGAAGTCCTTGACATCAGGCAGACAGAAAAGCTGAGGAACCAAAAATTTTATATGCTGGGCACACACTGCTCACCTGTGCATTGGGGGCACTACAGAATCTTGCGCACATCCTGGTATGTTTAGAGATCAACAGGCACTGCATGGCCTGCAGGCTGTGCAGCTCCTCCTGCCCAGGGCTTCAGAGCTGGCTCAAGGTGATACACTTTAAAAAAAGGATTCCTAAATTATCCACTTTGGGTTTTTAAATGCTAGGATCTTCAAGGGGAATTAGAACTTTTGTCTGATTTTTTTTTTCTACTTTTTTCTACTTAGCTTACTCCTCAAGCCACAGGACCAGTCTATGTTATTGTCCTGGCCACTCTCAGAATCTCATTTTGCAGCTACTGGAATTCCGGAGGTGAGCGCTGCAGCTGCTGATCAGGCCCATTCCCAGGTTCTCCCGGAAGGGAGCAAAGCGGGAGACGGCACGCTCCTTTGTCTTCCACTGGCTGAATGCCAAAATCCTTCACGCTACCAGTCTCTGCGAACTCCAGGTAGAAGTAGCCACACTTGACTGCCCGGTGCACCTCAAAGCAGAATCCCAAACAAGAATCCTCTATCAGGTCTACGTAAATCTCCTGAGCGATGGCCTCTAGCTTGTTAGTATCCAGGTTGGCCAACGAAATTTCCTCCATTTTAATTCGTAAACGACTGCGGAGAGGGCGCTCGTTTTACTCACGGCAGCAACACGTCTGGCTCCGCGGGCCGCGCCTAGGCCTACAGGCCTTTCAGGGCCGAGTCCTCCGGCGGCGGGTCGGTGGCGTGCACGGCGGCAGAAGCAGCGGCAGCGGCAACTGCTCCGGAATCCCAAGTCCTCCGGTTTGTTTTGGCGTCTCCCGGGTTGCGGGGCTTTTGGCCGCGCCTGGCCAAGGACTCAACGCTAAACCGTCTCAGCGCCTCACCCAGCCGCCTGGGCCTCTTCCGCTCCCTTGTCGGGCCTAGCCCCGCCTCCCCGCTTCCGCCCCTCAGTGCGCCTGCGCTCTGGTTCCGCGCAGACTCCTGGGGCTTCTCCTTAACGCGCTGGGGCTTCTCCTTAACGCGCTGCTGCTTTGAGAGCGATTGAGTTTATGAAAATGAACGGGATGAACTAAGCTGACTTAGTGTATGACTTCCATTATCTCTGATTATTAGAAGATTGCGAGGATGCTATTTTATGTTACTTTATTTGTAAATTTAAACATTCGCAAATGAATTCAGCACCCATGCTTTATCCCCTGAAAAAGGGAAAAATATAGTAATTTTATGCACTGTTGTGGTGTGATTCGAAACATTATTTTGGGAACAGTTCTTCGGATGTGTTTGAAAATTTGACTTACGTGATTGACTAATGGTCGTTTATAGCAATGCCGCAGTTGTCATTTAAATCCACTAGATGGTGCAAGGAAACAAATTACAGTATAGTTTATCTTTCGGTCTTTTTTTGAGTGAAAAAACTGGAAACTTGGCAGTAAAGGCATAATTCATATATATTAATCAAGTAAACTTAAGGCATCTATCTCTCTTATAAGACCATTAAGGCAATATGAATATAAAGAGATAATATACACCTCTAAAATAATTATGAAGAGAAAATTATGTGTATATTCTGTCTTAAAGGAGGAAATTTGAAATATGTTAAATATACTGGGAGATAAGGAAAACTTTTCCTAAAATTATGTGCATGATTTGTGAGAACGGGAGCCAGCCTACCTAAGTTTAAATCCCGAAGCCAACATTTAGCAGTTCAGTGTTTCCTCATCTGAAGAAAAGGCTAGTTCTTATTTCATGGTTAAGATTAAATTAGATTTTAAGAAATCTTGCGACAGTGCCTTACATGTAAGCAATGGTTCAATAAATGTCAACTATTTTTAATCACATTGATATGAACTTGAATATGAGAAAAATCATTGTAGTATTTCCTTTATTTTTTGCTCATTATTTTGGTCCCCAGCACTGCTGTGAAATAGAGCAGCCCGTATTATCTTTATAATTTATTTTAAAATTATTGTTAACTAAACAAAAATACAAAATATGTATATATATCTGTCTGATTCTATACTTTTCCTTCCAGATTAAAGGAGAGATATGTATTTTTTAATCAGATACAAATAATTATTTTCTAATGTATATGATCATCTGAACATCTAAATATTTCAGAATTTATTCATTTTTTTGTTTTTATTTTTGACACATGATCTTGCTCTTGCCCAGGTTAGAGTGCAGTGGCACCATCATAGTTCACTGAAGCCTGCATCTCCAGGGTACAAACAATCCTCCCACCTCAGCCTCCCAAATAGCTGGGACTACAGGGGTGCAGCACCACCACATCAAACTAATTTCTTTCTTTCTTTTTTTTTTTTTGTTCTTTAAGCACGGAGGTGTTGCTTTGTTTTGCTTTGTTGCCCCAGCCGGTCTTGAACTCCTGAACTCAAGTGATCCTCCTGCCTCCATCTCCCAAATGCTAGGATCACAGGCATGAGCCACCTTACCTGGCCTAGAATTCATGCTTAATATCTCACTGTATTAGTCTGTTTCCACACTGCTCTGAAAAACTACCTGGGATTGGGTAATTTGTGAAGAAAAGAGGTTTAATTGACTCATGGTTCTGCAGGCTTCACAGGAGGCATGACTGGGAGGCCTGAGGAAACTTGCAATTATGGCAAAAGGTGAAGAGGAAACAAGGACCTTCTTCACATGGTGGCAAGAGGGAGAGAGAGCAAAAGGGTAAGTACCACACACTTTTAAACTGTCAAATCTCGTGAGAGCTCACTCACTATCACGAAAACGGCAAGGGGAAAATCCTCCCCCATGATCCAATCACCTCCTGCCAGGCTCTTCCACTGACATGTGAGGATTACAATTAGACATGATATTTGGGTGGGGACACAAAACCAAACCATATCACTCACTCTTTATTTTCATGAATAGAGGATTAAGTTAAATTTATGTGGTTTATGAGTAGCCAGTACTTGTACCCATCCAAACTTTTCTGATTGCATATTTCACCATTTTAAAAACCATAAATTGGCTGATATGGAGTATTTTGAAAGCCTAGACTTTAAGATTTATGTATTATAAGTTTTGTTTTCTTTTCTTTAAATATGGAGCAAGATGTTTTTTAATCATTGTAGTCATTGTATAATTTATATATTCTCCATTCATAAATTGGCATCATATTTTGATATAAATTGAAATCTCCACATAACCCCATGCTAGCCCATATAATGAGTAAATGCACAAGTTCTTTGGTCAGACTGTCTCCTACCCATTACTGTCTGTGTGAACTTGTCCTACCTACTTCTGTAAGTCTCAGTTTTCCTTTTGTAAAATGCCAATAACAGTTCTCATCATATGGGTTCGTTGCGAGATTTAAAACATGGCAATAAATTTTATAAATGTCTTCACACAGTGCTTGGCAAATACAGAAGTATATAATACTGTGTTTTATAACTAGTACTGGGGCATACCTAGTTAGGTGAGAAAATACATATAAATACAATTGTTTACACAAATGTCTTCTTTCTCATGCTTTCTCCAAATTTAAAGCAGTGCTTCTAAAACCATGCATATGAGTCATTCAGAGATCTTTTAAAAATGTAGAGTATGATTTTGTAAATCTGGGTTGGGGCCTTCTTCTCTGTATTTCTAACATACTTTAATATATGCTGATGACCACATTATAAGTAGTAAGAAATTAAAAGGGCTTAATAGTGGACAATTGTTCATCATAGTGATTGGCTCCCATATAATTTGTTTTTGCAAATTGTCATGAGAGTTTTTACATGTTTGATTTTGGCAGAAGCGAAGAAGATTGCCCCTTAAACCCTCCTTGTGTTGTAAGAGTTGGAACACAAGTACTCAATTTATATAATTAAAATGGGTCATCAATAAAATTTACTCCCAAAATATGTGCAAAAAAACTTCATATTAATTGAAATTCAAATAATCAGGAGCATGGCTAGGTTTAGACTTCCTCTCAGTATTATATTACATTTAATCTTAGAAAAGGAACATTATCATGATAACAAAAATTTGCAATAACACTCATTGTCACTTTGTCACCTCTTTTCTGCTTATATCGTTTAACTAGATTGCCTTACTTTTTATTGAAATACACTGGAACTCTTTATGTTAAATCAGCCTTAAATCAATAACATACCACAAAAATAACAGTTGAGAAAAACTCCTTGTTCTCTTATAATCAATAGGATTGAAGGTATTACTTAAGCCTTTAGTATAAGTACCCCCACATTTTAGGGCTAAGAGAATTATTTAGCTACTGAATACCAGGGGTGTGTTGAAATTAGCTTTCCTAACATCCACTGGTGTTGCTTGTGAATGTTTGTTTTTAGTTAAAAATATTATGTAGTGATGCTGACTTTTAGGAAGCCCACTTTTACTTTTACTTATGTAATATTCATTAAAACTTTATTTTTCTTTACTCATCCAAGTATTTTAAGATAAATGAATAGTAAATCAGAGAGGGAGGGAATATTTTGTCATGCTCTCTTTTAAACAGTGCTTTTCATCAGCCTATAATTTATATCAGAACTAAACTATGCCATTTTATGCCTTTTTGTGAATAATTTGGTAAAATAAATATATGTGTGTCATAACTCAACTGTAAATACTGGCATATCCTCCCAGGCATAGCTAGCTTGAAGTTTCAAATTCATCCTCTGCTGAAATTCAGTTTTCAAAATTTGCATTTAGAAAGTAATTATTAACATTCGCATGACATTCAGAGGGCCACAATTTTATATTAAATTGAGGTGTCATGCTACAATCGTAATATCTAAAATAAATTTATGATTTGAATTTGCCCTATTAAATTGAAATCATGGCAGTTTATTGAATATTGGTATTTATGACAACTCTAGATTATAATCTACTAAAGGGAAAGATACCGTAATGCTAAGCTACCTATAATAGTAAGTAGAATGTTATGCTAATATGACAATTTTAATAGTTTGCATAATAAAATATTTTTAAAAGTTGATATTTCAACACATCAGTTATTCAGAGCCACTTTGGTCTATGAAAGGGCTTCAGAAGATCTCCAGAAAAATATCCGTGTATTTGCATATATAAGCATAAAGGAGCTACTTGATTTATGACAGTCATTACATTATAAACCTATTGTAAGTAAATATATTATAAATCAGAAATTCATTTAATACACCTAACCTACTAAATATCATAGCTTAGTTTAGCTTACCTTAAATGTGCTCAGAACACTTAACGTTAGCCTACAGTTGGGCAAAAGTATCCAACACAGTCTGTTTTATAATGAAGTTAAATATCTCATGTAACTTATTTCATTCCCTACTAAAAGTGAGAAGCAGAATGGTTGTATGGGTACTCAAAGTACCATCCCTAATGAATGCTTATGATATTCACACTATCATAAAGATGAAAAATCTTAAGTTGAATTATTGTTAGCTGGGAATGATTTGTATTTTTTAATATTTTTTAAATGGCTTATGAAACTGCCTCTGAAGGTAATAAGCTATTTCTTAAACAAAAATAGACTATTATTGATGGCCTCTCTTTATGTGAAAAAGTCTACATAGTAGTATAGAAAATGATGATTATTTATAATTTATGTATATATAAGGATGGGCCTGTAAAAATGTGCATTTGTACACTGAAAATAATTTATGATTAGACAGCATGGATATGATAGTAGTCTCTTTAATTGTTAAAGAGACTACTAAAAACCCCCATCTTAAAGGAATTTCAAACTTATAAAAAGTTTCAAGAATATCAGCATATACTTTCTATATGCCTATCTTTTACTCAGATTTACTCACGAACATCTTGCCACTTTTACTTTGTCTTTTCATTCTCTCACTGTTTTCTTATCATAAACAAATTTGAATTACTATTTTTTTCATGATCTGTTTGGTAGCAAGTTGCAGACATAATGCCCTATTGGGTCTAAAGCATGGGATAAAAATGTATCTTAGTAGATTAGAGTCCTGTAGCAATA